CATGCTGGAATGATCCCAGGAGGCTGTAAAAGCAGATATCTACACTTTATCCTGGATTCTAGGCTATAGTATGATAGTTTCAAATTGTGGTGTGTGTGGGGCTGGGGCATGCTGAATAATTTTTTTTCTGAAAAGGAGACAGTAGGCCAAGTAAGTTTGGGGACCTATGATGAGTCAAAAGATGAGTCAAAAGAGGCTAGTTGGAGGAAGTGTGGTACTCTGTATCAGTAAATAGGGTTGACTAAAGTCAAATCCTGACCCTATAATTGATGGGTGAGCAGAGTAAAGAGTGGTATATGGCATATGTTCTACATTGCAAAAACTAGAGCTTATAGGGGAAAATAAATGCCATTTTTTGAATCATCAGGTCAAATATACTCAGAAACAAATCTTAACATTTGCAGAACAAAAATGTTTGTTGGCCAGTGTTATAAGAGGTTACTGTAATTGTCTAGGTAGGGATAAAGAGGATCTGAATTAAGGATAGTGTAGCAAAGATAGAGTTGGGATATTTTTAAATGGACGAAAAACTGAACTGTTTCTATAGGGTATGAGGGAGCCTGAGAAGAGATAATTGCTGGGTTGTTTCATGAGTAACTCTTTTTGGATATTGGGCTGTTGATAGTAATTTAAACCTATCAGCTATTCCACTGGAGAAAGAGGAGGTTGTTTGCTCCTGTAAAGATTTACAGTCTCAGAAACTCTACATAGGGTCTTTAATAGTTGGAATTAACTAAATGATAATGTGTTTGGGCTTGGGTAACTATGGGTGGGTGAATGTGGCATAAACATCAAAATCAAGAATTGGTAGTCAATTTAATAGGGAAATAGTTTACTTTTTATAGGTGAAAAAATTTAAGTGGAGATATCTCAACAGGCGATCTTTTTAAAAAAACCATTTTATTGAGGGCTCTTACAACTCTTATTACAATCCATACATCAATTGTATCAGGCATATTTGTACATATGTTGCCATCATTCTTTTCTAGACAATTACTTTCTATTGAGTCCTTGGTATCAGCTCCTCTTTTTTCCTCTCCCCCCCTCCACCCATGACTCCTTAATAGATTATAAATGATTTTCCTATCTCACACTGACCACTGGTTCCCTTTCTCCATGGCTTCTGTTGTTCTTCCCCCTGGAGGGGTGTGTGTGGTTGTGTATTGATCATTATGATCGGTTCCCCCTTCCTCCCAACTTCCCCTTCCCTCCTTCTCCCTACCCTTCTGGTATTACTATTCCCATTCCTGCTCCTGGGTTGTTTGTGCCATGAGCTCTTAGCTCTTATCTATACCTGTGTCCATGCTCCAGTCTAGTCTGAAGTGAGAAGCATCATGGGGGTCATTGGGGGGTAAGGAAGCCTCAAGGAACCAGAGGAATATTGTGTATTTCATTGGTGCTTTACTGTGCCCTGGTTGACTCATCTCTTCCCTATAATACCTCTGTGTGGGATGTTCCATTGTCTACAGATGGGGTTTGGGTCTCTGCTCTGACCTCACTGGTTCTCAACCATACAGTTTTGTTTGTTTGTTTGTTAAGGGTCTTCTAATCAGGCAATCTCTTAAGTGAAATCCATTTAGCCACTCTACTGGTTTGAAGGTCATTCAGACTGATGCTAATGGAACACTTAATTTTCACAGACAGTGTTAGACTTTTGGTAAGTCAGTGAATTTATGTTCTTATTGATATGTTAAATTGTCATGTTTGTCTTTAGCCATGTTTTTATACAAGTGTATTTATGACAACTTAATCATTATTTAAATTGAAACTGTAAATGGAAAACAGTGTTTTCTGTAAAAACAAATTTGAATGATGTGGAAAGTTTTGGTAAAGGAAAATTGCTAAAAAGTTTCTGTGAATTTGGTGGGATGAGACAATTATAAAAATAAGGTAAAATTGGGGTCATGATAGTGGTGGGGAGGAAGTATTAAAGAACTAGAGGAAAGTTGTATATTTCATCATTGCTATACTGCACCCGGACTGGCTCGTCTCTTTCTTGTGACCCTTCTATAAGGGGATGTCCAATTGTCTACAGGTGGACTTATGGTCTCTACTCTGCCCTCCCCTTATTCACATTGATATGATTTTTTTTTGTTCTGGGTCTTTGATGCCTGATACCTGATCCCATCAACATCTCATGATCACACAGGCTGGTGTGCTTTTGCCATGTGGGCTTTGTTGCTTCTCGACTAGATGGCTGCTTGTTTGTCTTCAAGCCTTTAAGACCCCAGACGGTATATCTTTTTATAGCTGGGCACCATCAGCTTTCTTTATCACATTTGCTTATGTGCCCATTTTGTCTTCAGTGATTATGCTGGGAAGGTGAGCATCACAGAATGCCGGGTTATTAGAACCAGTCTGCTACCTTAATACTTAACATATAAATATATGTACATAGATCTATTTCCCTACTGTTATATATAAATATATTTACATATGTACATGCCTGTAATTAGAACTCTATAAATGTCCTTTGCCTCCTAGTTCTTTCCTCTATTTCCTTTTACTTTCCTCCTGTCTCACTATCATGTTCAGCCTTGATTCGGGTTTCAGTAATTCCTCTCGGCTACATTGTCCTTGATGAAGCACCACCAGGCATCCTGTACTTTCCTCACCATCGATTTTAGATCATTTGTTCTCCTGTCCCTGGGTTGGTTGACACTCTCCTTTCTTTCCCTCCCCTCCCCTCTCATGTGTTCCCCTGGAATCATCGGTCTGTTGCTTTCTCCTCCAGATTGTATATTCCACCTATCTTATTTAGATAGACATGCAGAGACAATTATAAGCACAAAAACAAGACAGCAAAACAAAGCAACAAAAGAAAACAAATAACAAAACAAAATGATGACAAAAAAGAAAAGTCTATAAATAGATCCAGGTCTGTTTGTTGTCCTTCAGGAATGTTTTCTGGTGGAGTCTGATGGGGTGCCACGCCCTGGCTCCAAAGTCTATTTTTGGTTTTCCCCAGGGACTTCATTGCTTTGCTCCCCTTGCTGCTCTGTTGCATGCCCTTAGTGTTTTGTCCCAGTGTGATGGGGTCAGATCAAGCACAATTCCTGCACTGTCTCCAGTGTTGTCCCCTGTAGTGCTATCTGTCAGTGAGGGGCGTCATGTCTTGTGGTGGGGCCGGCCCTATGGTCCTCTCTGTGCATTGGCTCTTCTGAGCATGAATATCATCCTCGGGGCTTGGTGGGGACTATACATCTTTATGGGAATAGAAAACCTCATCTTTCTCCTGCATAGCTGATGGTGGTTTCAAAATGCTGACCTTTCAGTTATCAGCCCAACTTGTAACTCACTTTGTGACGAGGGCTCCCTAGGAATATTATATTACTATAGTTTAAGGCAGCATTTTTTCTTTTAATTATTGTAAGCCTTATAAAGAAGTCTTTGTACACACGCAGACACCCTTATCTATAAAATGAACCATAAAGTTTCATGAAGCAATATATAGCAAATATTCTGATATTTTCTATTCTTCTCTATCCTAATCCATTATAGTTCACATAATTAATTGACTTAAAGGAAAAAAACCAAACCCATAAAAATGGATTTTAGGCAAGAGAAAAGGTAATTCTGGAGAATATAAATTTGTGGCAGTTTAGAACATAATTTCAACGTAATAAAAGTATTCTTAGAGTTCTCAGAAAGCTCGTGAATGAAAGAAAAGAGGGCTATTCATTACATTTGTCTGTTAGGTGTCACTGCTCAGCTAAGTGAGAGAATCTTTGAATAGCGCGCTGAGTGTGGGAGATAGAGACGTTGGGAGAGGGTTTACAACAAGGTGAACCCCCTTCATTGTAAATCCTCTCTTTCCATTTTGAGCTCTTTTCCATGATCATTCTCTGGTCTAACAAAGGCTTGGTTTCATTTTATGTCATGCTTAGTATCCATAGCAAAGAACTCAGAGTTTAGATTAATGGAAATAAATAGCACAGAATTTATTTTTACCTTATGATTGAGCTAAAGACTTTTTAGGCTTTTGAAAATCTTTGTCAATCTAGTTTGAGACACTCATTTTCAAATCAATAATAATAATAAATAGCTCTTTAAAAGTACAGGGGCAATACAGTGCTCACCTGGCAGATTAAGTTTTTCTGACAGTTCCATGAATTCTTTTTCTGTGACCATGATCCCCATGTTTTCTAAAAATGTATCCAGCTTATTGACATAAACATTCCCTTCTAAGAGACAGGAAAGTGATATGAGAAAAAGTTGAATGATTCTAAATCAGGACTGCACATAGTAGGACTTTCTTCTTTTTTACTGAGCAAGTATTTTCATTGTAATAAAAACCAATTTCTTCTTCTTATTGCTAATGTCTCTAAGATTATTTAACTGAAACTCTAGTCTTGTCCAGAGAAAGGCAATAGGAGAATTAGAACCTTTCCCCTCAAATCTTATGTTAGGAACAAATCTACACAGAAAATATTCATAAAAAGAGTTGAAAAGTTAAAGAGAGATGACTCAATCTTCAACAAAATAGAAGCTATTTTTTTTGCCTGTACCTTAAAATTATTTGTCCTAGCTTTCGACTGGAATTCTTATCTGGCAGCCTTCATACTTCACCTTTTGCCTTTTCTTTTCAGATTATTGTTTCTTTGGGCTGAGTTAGGAAAAGCCCAAGAAAGACTAAAACTTTTGAAGGATAGGAACTTACTAGGTAAAATGCATATGTACCAAAGGGAGCATTGGTAAAGTCTCAATTACATAGAAAAAGAGAGAGAATAACATTTTAAAAGTACAAATAAGAGTCTCAGACTAAGGTCTTTCATTGTGCTTATTACTTACCTTTGAGAAATTTTATCCCTTTCATTAGCCTTTTCTGATGTACTGTTCCATCATCTATAAAATATGGGATGTTTTGGAAAACGCAGTTAGAAAGATTTTAATCTTAATTTTGGAAAGGATTTAAGTCTTTGCCTTTACATTTCCAAAGCAAATAGATAATAGTAAGAAAAAACGTTCACTATCAGTGGTACATCAATGAAATGCACATCTCAACAATGAGATTCCCTCCCCTGGCTCTGTACTGGCAAAAGAAGGTTTTCAAATGCTGCTGGTGGGCGTTCATATTGCAATGACTTTTCTGGAAAGAAATTTGGCAAAACATAATACAGATTTTATTTTGCCATTCTACTTAAAGGAATTTAATTTTAGGACATTTAAGGAGAGTTGCAAAGATTTGCCTATAAGATTTCTCAAAATAAAAGGGCATATATCCAGAGAAAGGACCCTGGAAATAAATATTTTAAACTTTTGACAATAGTTACAACATGGAGGTGGGAATAGAGAAGATTTAGTTTTTTTCTTATCTGCACTATCAATGTACATTAAATTGTAAAGAGGTAAGTTTAAATACATTTATATAAACATAAATATGCTATCTATATCTGCCTGCCTGCTTATCTACCTACTTATCTGTCTGTCTGTATATTCATCTATCCACCTACTCATCCACCCATCCATCCATCCATCTCCTTGCCCACTCACCCATCATTTCATCCATCCATCCATCCATCCATCCATCCATCCATCCATCCATCTACCTTCCCATCTTCTATAAAAGTACTGAAAGGAAATTCATTCAAAATCATTTTTAATTTTCTGTTTTACTTAATCTAATAGTGAAGTTGAGAAATGCAACATTTCCTGTATGTACAGACTCTCCACTCTGGATAAACTAATTATTTTATCCTGAATAAACACATACAATTACTTTATTTAGTATCCTTGTATCTTGTATCTATTCTTGTTTCTCTTCCTACTTTCTATTTTCTACCCCCTTTGCTTTCAAATTTTCTATTGTTTTCACAAATTTAGGTTATAATCAATCTGAGGGGTTGTTTTTCCCTTGATAGCAATGAATAGCTTAAAGGTTAAAAAAAATGTAAATCAGGGTCTAAATGATGACACTATGTTTTTTGGTGTTGCATTACATTTTTAATAGTTTTTAGGCATTTTAAGTTTATTTTAGAATTTTTCACATAGTGCCACACAACCAGACTTTCTAAAAGGCCCTGATGACATCCATGTCTTACCATTAACTGGCAGTGTCTTCAGCAAGTTCATGCGTTCACTAGGTGTGAGTTCAATCTCCAAGTTTCCCAAAATATTGTCAAGTTTATTAATATCAACTTTCTGTCCTTTGAAAGAAGAAAGGAATATTCACAAATGGTGATTTGGGACTATAATAAAAATCTAAAATAATAAAAAAACTGGTTCATAAGATGTTATTTTCACTTTAATAATCTCATATGTTTAAATAGTGTTTAAGAATAAGTGAAATAAAACTTATTTATTAGTTATTCATAAAAAGTGAAAGTAAGCTTATTGGCAAGACATCATAGCATAGGAGAAAATAAGATTAGATTTATGTAATTTTGGTTTATCTAGTCTATTTTTAAGTGTTGAGTTATTGGATTGTTATTTAATGCAGTTGTATCATCTTATTTAAAAGTATTCACTTCTCTATTCGTTTACATTTTGACTATTTAAACCAGCAGTTATGAACACAAAGCTTAAAGGAGGATCTGAGTGAAAGTGCTGTGGCAAAGTGAAGATCATGTGCAAGAAGAAATAGCATCAGTTATTTGTGTGAGGGAACATAGAAGCAGTGTTGCCAGACCTTATAAAACGTGGCTGTACTTTGGACTAAACACATGTGTGACCAACTAACACTGTGAAGATCAATATATTACCAATCAGTGCTATAAAAAATATTTTTAAACTCAAGCATAGCCATTTGTTTATTTATTTATGTCACTATTTTTATAGCTCAGTCCCAAATAGTTCAAAGTCAAAGGCAGAAGAAAAGTTGGGGTAACTATTTCATTATAAATATGTAAAATGCTAGCCTTAATAAGTTTGTGATATAATACTGTCCAAACACCATGCAAAATGCAATATAGGATTATAATCAGCTACAAAGGTCTTAATACTATCTTACCTGTAAAAGCCTTTGCTCTATTCAGCACCTTTTTCAGATCAACCTTACCATTAACTACAAGACAAGAAAGAAATCGAATAGAAAAATGACAATGAGACTAAGAAAATTATGTTGCACACTTGAAGAATTTGGTATTATTTATCTTTTGTCACAAATTTAGCATTTTATTTACCCCCTTCATGGGAAGATGGCATTGTGGTGACATGGGAGAAAAAGCAATCTCCTCCTGTCAAAATGATAGCCTTGGAAACACTCATGGGGCAGTTCTGCACTATCCTACAGAGTTGCTATGAGTAGTCCCTGGAGAAGAAGATCACGCTTGGCAAAGTAGACGGCCAGCAAAAAAGAGATGGACTGACACAGTGGCTGAAAGCTTGGGCTCAAACATAGCAACAATTGTGAAAACGGAGTAAGACCAGGCCGTGTTTCATTTTGCTGAACATAAGGTCAATACAAATTGGAGCCAACTCAACGGTACTTCATGACAAAAAATCCTTCTACTTAGTTACTAAAAGGAAAAGAAAATGTTTTTCATTTTTTTCTAGTAGCAAAATAATATTCCATGTGAATGAGGAAATCTAGATATAACTTAGGGATCATGGAAGAATAAAACTGTATTTATCCCATAAATTCAATAAACTTTCCCTTTTGAGTACCTACAAAGTTCCAGTTGTTATTGTTAGGTGCTGTTGAGTCAGTTTTGACCCATAATGATCATGTGAACAACAGAACCTAACACTGCCTGGCCCTGCGCCGTACTCACAGTTGTTCTTATGTGTGAGCCCAGTGCTGCAGCCACTGGGTCCGTGCACCTCATCGAGGGCCTTCCTCTTTGTCACCGTACCTCGACTTTAGCAAACATAGCGTCCTTTTCCAAGGAAAGTACGTGAGGTGAAGTCTGGCTACACTTGTTTCCAAAGAATATTCTGGCTGTACTTCAGATGTACAAATATAGATAAAGTACATGGTCATAATAAAAACTTCAACAAAATAAGGATTTGTTTAGTGGCCACATTATCAAATCATAACTCTAAGATCTAGAGATATAATGAAAAAGAAAATTAGATAGGAGATTAAGAACATACTTCTTGATAATCCTTGCACCAGTTACAAGCTAACTAAAGAAGTAATGCATCCGAAAGCCTTTCTTGTTGAAACTCAAGGAAAGGCACTTTGAATGAATCCATTACTCACCCATGATTTTATAGAACTATACCTTGGCATTTGGAAAATACTCTTTCATGAGTTATGCAGGTTTTACCAATATGTGTATTTTTGCGCTCAGTATAAAAAAACATACTTTATAGATCACTAGAAATTTAATTTATCATGAGGGAGGGGGGAGCAGGGAGGGACGAGTAAAAATGAGGAGCTGATGCCAGGGGCTTAGGTGGAGAGCAAATGTTTTGAGAATGATTATGGCAATGAATGTACAAATGTGCTTTACACAATTGATGTATGCATAGATTGTGATAAGTATTGTATGAGTCCCTAATAAAACGGTAAAAAAAAAACCAATGCCAAAAGAAAAGACAAAAAAAATTAATTTAAAAAGTTTTCTGAAATTTACTTTTGCTTAAAAGCTCAAATTTTATTACAAGGGACAAATGCAATCAATTGTTTTCTTTGAAAACAATAGCAAGGAATTTGAGCAATACCCATTAATTTCTAGAATATTGTAAGGAACATAAAGAAATGGTGAAAAGAGAAGCAGAGGGCAATCTTGAACCCTTGTCTCATTTGCACAGCCAACTAGCACGAGACAGGATGGGTTCTTCTAATAGACTTGAGATTCCTTCCTAAGCTTTTCCAAACACCTTCTTGATATCAAATACACATCTTTAAATAATTGTATAAGACTGTTTGCTTCCCTTACCAGGTTCAATAATATCTAAAATGCTCACCATCAACTGGCAGGTTTTGTGTCAGATCTTTTAGCTCCTGTTCAGTGAGGTATGTGCCCATGATTCTTAAAAGTGCACTAATTTTACTGGCATCAATCATCCCCCCTTATGAAAAGAAAGACACATATGTGAAAGTTAACATTACTAAAAGATGAGGGTAAGTTCGCAATTTTTCAAAATTACGTTTATCTGTTCTTTCTTAAGTGCACTAAGAGTCAATAACAGAGTTAAACTTTTAGGTTGTTTTCATTGTAACCTCCATTATAGATGCACCTATTGTGAGATTTTAAAGGTGACTCAGTCACTTTTTAGGAGTTACGGCACTATTAATTAATCCAACGTTTCTAGTAACATTTGTTTTTATTGTGTTGATCCCTATCATTTACTTTCAGTGATGCTGAAAGATTCTGGTTTTCCATTTCCTTTTCACAGACCATTTTGTCTTAGCTAAAAAGGAAGTCACTTTCAATAAAACAAAGAGTGCTCGTACAAACGGTGTGTGGGTATGGCAGGATATGGCACGGGAGGGGGAGGGAAGCACAGGCATTCTGTCCAGGCACGACCCTCCAGAACCTGCTTCTTGCCCTGCTCTCTAGGCTTATGTCCCTTCACCTCCTTGGAGTCTTTCAAGCGCATTTTTTTGGTATGAATGTCCAATTAATAGTCTTTGCTTCTGAATAAATAAAATGAAAACATGCAAATTTGCTCTTTACTTTTTGCTGTGCAACCTGGGCTCATTCACTCTATTTCTGTTGAGGTTTGGAAAATCCCAAGAGAGCATGGGGATTCTTTCCAAGACACAACAAAAGGAATTATGTCCTAAAGTGGGACTGACCTAAAAAAGAAACTACAGTATGTCATAGCTAAAGTGTTAGATGGTCAGGTTCATCATCTAATTATAGGGAAATAGTAAAAGTAATACACATGAGGAGCTCAGATTATCTATGCTACATTAAGTTTCTCACCATTAAGAAACTTCATGCCATCCATCAACCTTTGCTGATAGACCTTTCCATCTTTAAGAAAAAGAATTATTCAGATTACAGAAGAGCAATGTGGGGTTTCAAAGACAATATAAATCCAGTAATTTCATGAAGACATACTTTGTGAATTACCTTGGAAATGGTCTCATTCACTAACAAATAATAAAATTGTAAAGAGTAGGAAATGTTTTAACTTTAGTAATATAGGGAGTTAATACTGGTACTTTACTTTGCTGAAAAGTTTATTTTTCTTGTCTTTTATAATGTTTTGTTTTCTTCTAATAGCCACTTCTCCCCCACCCCCCCATTTATTCTGACTTAAATTTAAGATCTCTTAGTAGATTCAAAGTGATAAAAGATATAACCAAACCCTGATGATAAGAGTCAGGATGACACAATTATTGATTCTCAAATTAAAAATTTAATGGTATAAGTAGTATTTTAAGATATAATTCCACTGCCAGCAAGTCAATTCCAACTCATATGGCCCCTACAGGACAGATTAGAATTGCCTGTTAGGGTTTCCCAAGCTGTAAATCTTGACTGAGGAGCCTTGGTGGTATAGTGGTTATCCTTTGGGCTCTGATCCTATCTGTGAGGTCCAAAGTTTGAAACCACCAGCTACTCCATGGGAGAAAGACAGGGTTTTCTACTCCCTTAAACAGTTACAGTCTCACAAACTCACAGGGGCAGTTCTACCCTATCCTATAAGGTCGCTATGAGTCAGCATCAATTTGATGGCAGTGAACGCATCTCTATCTCTCTCTCTATCTCTATCATCTCTACCTCTATCTATCTATCTATCTATCTATCTATCTATCTATCTATCTATCTATCTATCATCTATCTTTACTTGAGTTGAAAGTCTCATCTTTCTCTTCCCCGTAACTGCTGGTGGTTTAGAACGGCTTACTTTTTGGTTAATACCCCAAAGCGTAACCCATTAGCCACCAGATCATTTCAAATTGTGCAACTTGGATTATTTTTGGCAAGCAATCAAATAGAGTTCATTTGAAACATTTTCACAATTAAGCAACACATTATTTGGAAGATTACATTGTAATTTGAAATACTCACCATCGATTGGAAGATTACTCATCAGTTTTGAGAACTCTTTATTTGTGAGTTCTATCCCCATGTCACCTAGAAATGTTTCTATGTCATCAACATCAACCTCCTTGCCTTCAAAAGATAGCAATTGTTACAAATGAGATGTTAAATAACTAGTTATCCTAAATTATAATAAAAGCTTCTATTAATGTTTCATTATCAGATCCAACTACTCAATGCAAAATAAAGTCAAATGAATCTGTCTGACTATAGTTATAGCAGAAAATGAAACTGCTTATTGCTTTAATTTCAATAAAAATAGAAACAAGATAGTGGTAATCTCTTTAATTTTTTAGTGTGAGAGGTTGCCATCAGGTAATAAAACTTTAATACTTTAAAATTTCACTAGCATTTATTTTAGCAGATATTTTTAGCAAATATCTTTGATCAATCTGGAAGAAATGAACTTATAAGCCTTGTTAACAAAATTCAGCACTATGTTTTGTTGCTAAATCATCAAAAAGCCAAAACCAAATCCTAGGTATTGAACCCCAATAATTTAAAATTGCATAATTTAAAATGAATATCAAATAACATGCGCAATGTAAATGTAAAGAATCATAATACTATATATTCAATGACTTCTTCCTCACCTGTAATAGCTTCTACTTTATCCATCAATTTTTTCATATCAACTTTCTCATAGGCTGTAAGATAAAGTTTGATGAGAAGTAAACAATAATATGAACTAAAAAAATAGGATAAGAGGTTCTATTTATCTAAAATATAAGCAATGAAAATAAATTCCCTCAAAGAAGGGTCACAAGGAAGAGATGAACCAGTCAGGGTGCAATATAGCACTGATGAAACACACAACTTTCCTTTAGTTCTTTAATGCTTCTTTTCCCCCTCTATCATGACCTCAATTCTACCTTACAAATTGGATTAGACCAGAGCATGCACACTGCTACAGATAAGAGCCTGAAACACAGGGAATCCAGGATAGATAAACCCCTTAGGGCCAAAAAAGAGAATAGAGATACCAGGAGGCAAAGGGGAAGGTGGGGGGAGAATGGGGGAATCAATCACAAGGATCAACATATAATCCCCTCCCAGGGGGACGAACAACAGAAAAGTGGGTGAAGGGTGACAGAGGATGATGTAGGATATGAAAATAATAATCTATAACTTTCAAGGGTTTATGAGGGAGGGAGGGGGAAAAATGAGGAGCTGATATCAAAGGCCCAAGTAGAAAGAAAATGCTTTGAAAATGATGATGGCAGCATATGTTCAAATGTGCTGGACACAATGGATTAATGTATGGATTGTGATGGGAGATGTAAGTGTCCCCAATAAAAGTATTTAATAAAAAATTCACTACATTATCTTACTGAACAGGAAAAAAGAAGTGAAGACCAAGAGCTGTGACTTGAGCCTTAAAAGCTGGTGGTGAGCAGCCATCTAAGATGCAAGTACTGACTTTCCCTGTCCAGAGGAAAGAAGAGTGATGAAATAGCCAAAGACATACTGAAACATTTGGTGCAGCTGACTAATGAACTACGCAAATATTAGCTGCAACAACCCCGAGACCAGAAGGACTAGATGGTGTTGGCTACCACTACCAACTTCTCTGAAAAGAATTACATCAGGAGATCCTGCTAAAGTGGGAGGAAAATATGGAGCAAAACCCCAAATAATAAAATAGACCAGGTGAAACCTGTAAGATCCTTTGGGTCTGGAACTGAACTTGTCCCCATGTTAGAATAAGCAACCATTTAAGATTAGGGGGGGAAAAAAAGAAAGAACATTGAGAGAAGGTAATGGCATATTTAGGGCATTGTAATGGATGAGGTGAAACAAAATATAAATTATTGAATAGAAAACTGATGATGTATTCTGTAAACCTGAATCATATCAAATAAATAAAATGAGGACCAAGATTTCATAGTATATGAATAAAAACAATTAGAAAAAGTTCAAAAGCTTTACCCCATCCATGTAATGAAGGTAGATTCTACCTTAAGGAGGCAGCTCTTTCTCAATTGCATTTTGAGTCTCTTGTATCCTGAGGGGCTATCTTCTGGTACTATGTCTGACAGTATTTTACTGCTACTTACAAGTTTTTCAGTGGCTAATCCTTCAGGAATTATTCCTTCCTCAGGAAACCCATTCCTTCTTCATCATGGGTTTTAACTACAGGTGACACTGCCAACATTTGACATTCTGAGGCATAATTTCCAGCATCACAATATGCAAAGTACAAAAAACTGATGGACGAGTATCCAAAATACACACAGATGTGTAAACAACCCAATTGAAAAATGGAAAAAAGTCTTGAATAGACATCTCTCCAAAGAAGATATACAAATGGACAAATATGACCTGAAAAGATGCTCAGCATCCTTTATCATTAGGAAAATGTAATGTAAAAACACAATGAGATACTACTCCAAGGCCACTAAAATGACTATTACTAAAAATAAATAATGAAAATACTAAGGATTGGTGAGGATTCAGAGGAATTGGAATCCTCTGTCACTGCTGGTGTAACCATTTTGGAAAACAGGCAGTTCTTGAAAAGTTGAACATAGAATTCCATTACTCAAAGTCTCCTGTGGAGCAGCTTGCTTTTGAAATACTGACCTTGAGAGTGAGGGTAGCATTCCAATTCACAGCCACTATGCCACCAGGGCACTTTGAGGGTACCACTAGGGCCCTTTAAGTAACTACAAACCCTCCCCTTAGCACCAGCACCTCTTGTGAAATCCCAGATGTATGAAGAAAGAGATAACAAATTTTAAAAGAACAGAAATATAGAGACATTAAAGTATTTTTTTACATTAGTTTCTTCTGAAAGCTATTCAGATGTTCTCTTAGTGCAGAAAATGCACGATCTCTCTCTCTCTTTTTTTTTTCCGTCAAGGACTATGCTTTGATCTCTTTAATATAACAATGCTTTCCATTATGCTTACCATTACTCAGAGATTCCTTTAGCTGATCAAGCTCCTTTTTCGTAAGCTTGACATTCATGGCTTCTAAAGCAGTATTCAGGCTATTTAAATTAACCTTCCCTCCTTGGGAACATGAAAGAAAGAGACAAAAATTAAATAGTTCAAAAATATTAAAAATATGTTCATATAAGTAGATTATTGTCCTTTCCTACCAGGCATAAGGACCACATGATTATATGTGTAAAAATGAATGAATCACAACCTCAGATAGTTATTAATATTTTCAAGCAAAGAGCAAAAACTACAATAGATTTGTTCAACTCCCTTGAAGCCTAAAAGCAGAGTTGGAGTTACAACTAGGAAAAAGTTAGGTGGGGCAGAGGTTAAACAACTGGAACTAGAGAACACTAATAAGTAATCTTCACAAAGAAGTAGAGATTGTAATTGTTTCTTAAGATCTCAGGGTTTTTCTCTGTTTCTGCTCAAATTATAAAATACTGATCAATCACAAACCTTTTTCTGCTATTTCTTCTTTGTCTTTGTTTCTGTTTATATATTCTCCTCACCCCACCCCCAACCACCCAAGGAGCTTTTGAAAAATGCAAGTCAGCACAGAACTTCTAAGATAAAGTAAAGGCTATTACTATGTAAAACACAGATGCGAAACAAAACGCAAATGTAAAATATATTCTATTGATATAAATATAAATCTTGAGGATGTGAAAACATATGCCTTCTATATGTTGTGCTTCTTACTCACTTTTATTAGACTTCACATGCTTCAGCACCCTGTTTTGAAACACCATTCCATCATCTGTAAGAATAAGTACAATTTAACTCTCTGGAAATTGATATGGAAATTTATGAAAACATTACTACTTTATGATTTCAGAAAGACACATTTTAATATCTGTTTTTTTAAGTTAGTCTATTTAATATTCACCCAATACTGACATTTAAGAATGGAAATGCTTTTCACAGTGACCAACTGTGCATTCTTTGATCTGGAGACATTTATTAGCTTAGCTCTTCCATAATAAAACATTAAAAAATATAAAAATATTATCTTCTCATTTATATTCTATTGCTATCCTATTCTTCTCTTTTTTGCTCACATTTTAAGCATAACAATTTGAAGGAATAATATTTAGACCACTCTAAGATGATGATGATTCTCATATGAGGTTGCAAGACAGAATTTCTTTTAAAGTTAAAATTAGATTTCTATGAATTTACGGGATTTAAAAAGAGAATTGTGCTGTTAAAAGACTGGGTACTGCTTATACAGGTCTATGAAATCAAGTTCCTGGGAGGTATAGTAGCATTTATGTGGCTTACCATTAATGGGCAATGCTTTCAACAGTTGCCTGGTTTCTGTATCTGTAAGCTCAATCCCCATATTTTTGAGAACGGTTTGGAGGTCATTGGAATCAATATTTTCTCCTTTGAAAATACAGAATATTCATAGGTAAAATATAAATGATCAAAATATTTTCAAATTATTTAGATACTACTTATACTATATTTATATACTATTGTCTTTTCTTTAATATTAAAATGAAGAGGAAAGAATAAAAGAAAACCAAATAAAATGACCCAAACATACAAAATAGAATGTATTTCTTAATATTAGTAAGTCGGATGTATTAACAATAGTGGGAATAATACTAGCCAGCACACAGAGAAAAAAAGTGGTGTAGTGGTTAGGCATTGGGCTATGAACTGCATGGTCAGCAGTTGGAAACCACCAGTAAGTAAAGCCTCGGTTTTCTACGCTTGTAAACAGCGATAGGCTGGAAAACCACAGGGGGTGACTGAGTCAGCATTGACTCAACAGTGAATTTTTGGAGAAAGAGAGATAGCAAGTATAAAAAATATCACATATATGACAGGATTTCCCCCTTTTTTTTGGTTAAAACTATGAATAGCTGTGCACGATGGACTTACTACTTTGGCCCTTTCAGTGTGTTATTCTGCCATTTAACGATGTTTGGGTCCATAAATACTAATGAAACTAAATAATTAAAGACTTGTTATCAAGAAATTGTTATTTTCCTACCATAGATTTACTATTTCAATGTCATTTGCTTTCTTATGACATATGTTAATCTTGTAGACATGGGTCTGCCTTTGTTAATGAGTATTATAAAATGTTTTGCCTATCACCAACTCCCATTGTTTGTGTAAATAGTGTCCAATCACTTAAGAGTTTAATTTGTAGAAAACAACAATTCACGTATTAAAATCTGAAGCTAGCCCATACTTATATAAATTGCTTCTTTCAACAGTGTATTAAATTCTGTAGCATTGGCTATATTAATGACACTACTAATAGAATTGTCTTATGCCCCGGGGGATGATTAATAATGTTCTATATCATAAGATGACAGAGACACATATGAAAATGAATATATCTAAAATGAATCATATATATATATTTAATATATATATGTATATATATATATATATAATCCATGGCTATATGAGTGGAATTGGGGCTTGCACTTAATTCTAGCCCCAATCTAAGAACAGTTAGTTCTTGTTATATGGTGCTCTTCAATGCTTGCCCCAGTGAAGAGACAACAAAAGATATGGGGTCTAGATCTATGGGGTGATAAAGAAACCAGATGATGCCTACCTATCAGAAAGAATAGTGTCTAAGATCGAACGACAATCAATTTTAGAGTACATTCTTCTTTGTAATTATTGCTACTAATGTAATTATCATTATTTAATTGTGGCAAAATACATACAATAAAACCATTCTCCAACAACTTCTACATGTATAATTCAGTGCCATTGACTATACTCTTCCTGTTGTACAACCATTATTGATAGCCTCTTCCAAATTCTTCCACCTTCATTAACATGAACTCAATGTTCCCTAAGCAAAAACTCTTCCATCTTCTCCCATGGTAACCATTAGTCAATTAAAGGCTTTTTATTTTCAGTAGTTTTCTTGATATGAAATTCACATATCATACACTTTCATAATTAAGTTGCTTTTAAAAAGAGTTGTATATGCATCATCACTAGTGCTCCCTTCCCCTTCTACGTTCATCGTTTGCTTCCCAGTCCCCCCTAACCGTACCCCCACCCCTTATAAACCACTGCATCAGTTATTGTCTCTATGCATTCATTCATTCTGCGGTTCATAAACTGGGAAACCTAACAAAAAATAAACAAAACCAAACAGAAAGAAGAAGAAAAAATAATATAGAGATAAAAAATAAAGAGTAGGAACAAAACACACCAACAATATTTAAAAAGCCAGAGAAGAAATTTCTGTCATGTAACAAGTGAGAAATATTAAAAAGGCTTGTCTTAAACAGCCATTTAAGTGGGTAGCAACTAAGTCCATATGGAACAAGCATACCAGCTTTTGTGATCTAAGGATTGTAAATAATAAGACCCACATCTGAAGTAGAGAATAGTACCAGAAATTAAATCAGGAACACCGAGCTTACAGAAGGCTATGGATGATAGTGGAAGCCCCCAATCCATTTGCAGGGTCTCCACATGGATTAAGTCTCCTGTAAATCCCATCTGACCATAGTAGAGGGATGTGAGTAGCCTTGTTATCATAAAGCGAGCATTGTGCAATTGATCGTGGCAGATGTAGTTAGGTTAAAATTCAATACCCTATCATTTGATCTTTCTTTCGACTCATTTCAAAGTTGTTTCAGTTTTTAATCTTTTCTACTTCTTCTCTGGTTGAGGTTTTTCTATGTTTTGTCTAGTCATTGTTGTTGGATTTTTGTTTGTTTGCTTTGTATAATTTTGTATGGTTGTGTTTTGTATAATATCATGAATGTGAAATCCAGGATAGGTAGCTCTAAAGAGACAGTGACTGGACAGGGGCTTGGCAGGGGAGAATGGGGGAAAAGGAGAGCTAAGACCCAAGAGTATGAGAAGCAATTGTTCTGAAATTGATTGTGGTGAGGATTACACAAATCTTTTTAATATGGTTGAATGATTAAATTGTAAGATATGTGAAGTACATGCCAGTAAAACTATTAGAAAGTAGTCCTTTTTGAAAAATAATAAAACCCACATGATTTTAGAATAATCTGTTGGTCATTAGATGTAAATGTTTTTATCAATGATTATTGAAAATATGTGCATTTACAAGTCATTGATAGAATATGAGCAAAATACTATTCGACATCAATGTAAGTCATGATTTATTATAAATCATTTATAATAAATTCTTACCTTTAAAATCTTTCAATTCATTCCTCAGGGTTTTCAGGGCCACTTTATTATCAGCTGTAAGACAAATTTTAAGCTCAGTAAATGAAATGAAATAGCATAAGAACATTCAGCACTTAAGCGTACTGGGCATTTTGTTAGGCCCTTAAAATAGTCATTCAATAGTATCTACTTACGATATGTGAAGAGCATGAATGAAAAAAAACCATTTAAAAGATATGTACATTTAAGTAAAAAAATATAAACTTGACTTCCTAGTCCTATAAAACATCAAATTATGTATTTGATAATGAAAAGTTAGGATTCTCAACTGGTTATTTTACAGAGGTCAGCTTTCTTCTTAGAAATTTGAAGACTCTTCTTCTGACCATGCCAAATAGTGCTCAGAAGACTATATTTCTAACATCTTTGTCATGGTAACTATCTTATACCCAACCTTGCCATTGTCCTCACAATAAAGTTCCCTTATTCTCTTATATCTACTACTAGAGGTACAAAAACCCAACGCTGAAGTGTTAGTGGTCTCTAACAAGCTCACCATTAACGGGAAGGTTTTGTGTCAGATCTTCAAGTTCCTTGTTGGTGAGGTTGATTCCCATGTTGACTAGAGTGGTTTTCAGGGTTTCTACATCCACCTTCCCTTTAGGAGATAGACATAGGTCTATGAGAAAAAGCTAGTGACTCCAAAATTGAATTATTTTAAGACATATATCCTTTGAAATCTGAGAAAAGTTATGGACTTTATACTTCTACATAGTGTACATGCATATTTGTAAAATGTACATTAAATTTCACAAGGGACCTCATAAGTATTTATGGAACCTAGCTTTAAAAAATAGTACCATTTTGCCAATTTTCTTTTTTCTC